CACGTTGTCCTTTAGCTCCTTGCTGTGATCACACATCCGTCGCCATCGACGGCCAAAACCTTCAGGGTCGGCGGCACCGGCCGTAAGGCCTTCACAATACCAGCCCAAGACGGCCGAAGAGGACCCAAAGATGCCCCCAAGAGAGGCCCAAAAGGGAAACACGAATCGACCCCTGGGGGCCCTCCCATCAAAGATGGCCCCCGAGCCCGCCAGCAAGCCCACAAGAGGCTTTCAGGGGCCCCCAGAGGGACCCAAGAGGCTCCCAAGATGGAAATCTCTGTGGTGCCTCCGAATGCCCCCCTGGAGGCCCATGAGGGTCACCTGCGTCAGCCGCACAAGGGTGGGCGGGTGGCGTTGCGGCGCGAGCCGTCTGTTGTTTGGTTGTTTGTTTGTTCGTTTGTGTTTCTTCGATGTTGTTGCTATTTGTTTTGGATGTTGATGCTTTTGCTTATCTTGATGTGTGGTGTGTGTGTGTGGTTATGTACAGGAGTGATCGCTATGAATTCACAGAGGACGCCCCACGCGAGGTGTCCTCGATGCCTTTTTCGTCCCAGCTCAACGCGAGGTCTGGATCAACGACGGGTGGGCCCGACAAACTCGACCCCGGGGGCGAAGCGCTCTCCAGACGAACGGCCTGTGCCGCGCGCCCTTTGTACAATACTCGTAACGATCCGCTACGCTGGGATGCGGCGTGGAAAGAAAAACTACTAGAGTGCAAGGGCAAGCGCAATCATCCTGCACTCTCTGCCGTCGGCCCCGAAGAGCACGACCACGAATGCCACGAAGGGCCTGACCACGCGTGCCCGAGGAGGAAGCTGCGGTCAGGCCAAGTTCAAATGTGCAAAGCCTGCCGCCCCCTTGCTCGCCAATGCGGTTCCCGCGCTCACGTGAAGCTGTCCCTGCCAAAAGTTGGCGACGAGCACAGAGGGGGGGTCGCGAGCGGGGCGGCCTCTTGAGAAGGCTTGGGGGGGGCTCCTCAGAAGGCGGGGGCCTCCCTGGAAGGGCCCGGAGGCATCTGAGAAGACCCTTCAGAAACTGGAAGGGCCTTTGAGAAGCCCACCTGCCTCTCTGAGAACGCCCCCCCCCTCCCCCCGTTGGCGCCACCCCTCCGTGTGCGCCGCCAGCCTGAGAGAACCGCTGCGCAGCCCTTAGCTGAGGGCAACGTAAGGGGGGGGGATTAGCTCAGGGGGGAGACATCGACCTGGAATCGGCGATACATCGCAGATAGATCCCCGATAGCATGTCCGCACGCTCCTGGGTGGGGTGGGCTATCGGGCCCCTATCGGCGATCAATGAGGGGTCGATGCATCCCGCTTTAATCCTATCCCCTGGTGGTTTTCTGGTCCTACCTCTGGCCTCCGACGGCCGTTCGGGACGATCCAGGCACCCCCAGAACGCTGTCGGCGAGGCGCAGCCGCTGGAGAGCACCCCGAGGCTGGAAAGCCGCCGACCACACGCAACAGCGTCCAAAACCTCAGACCTCGAACCTCCGTCCCCCCCGAGCCAATCCAACGTTGCCCCTGCTTCGCCCTCAGCGGCCCTCACCTCCCCGGCTCCACTTTTGTTTTCAAGGGGCTGTTGGCGGCGCGCACAAGGGGTTGGGGGGAGGGGGGAGGGCTTCTCACAAGCAGGCTGCTTCTTAGAAGGCGCCGGCCTTACATCTATAGATTATAGATAAGGCCCGCGCCTTCTGAGAAGCAAGGGTGCTTCTAAGAAGCCCTCCCCCCTCCCCCGACCCCCCTCTGCGCGTGGCTGAGGCTGCTGGAGGAGTGCAAGGTTCCACCAAAAAGCGGCAAAAGGTACTCTGCATGCGCGCGACTGTTGCCAAGCCTCCCCATGACATCGGGCATTTCAGGCCCTCCAGCAGCACCAAAGTCACAGAGGGGCCTCCAACTGTAGAGGCTGAAGGCCGTCACCGTCGGGACCGCCGGTCAAGCCCGGCGTTCCTTCTGTTCACCTCCCCGTCAACGGGATTTCTGGGATCGCGGCGCCAGAGGCGCCGCCAGGGGGCTTCAGCGCCGATCCGAGGAATCTGCGCGAACCGTCGACAATTTTGGCTCAATGACTTCCCTTCGACCTCAGCAGCCCTCACCTTCGGGGACGCACTGACCCGGGTCAATGCAAGCATAGGTCAGTCGGGCCTTGCAAGATCCTGCAACATCCTGCAGGATCCTGCGCGCTAACCCGGGCCAGTGCAACTCCAGCTCTGCAGGATCCTGCGAGATCAGGCGCTCTGGCTGACCCATTGCTTGCACGGACCCCCGGCTCAGGGCTCCCGACACCTCCCGGGCCCGCCCTCGGCGGCGGGCTCCGCTCCCGCGGACTGCCGTCTCCGGGCGGGCGGCGGCGCGCCGCCGCGCGGGCCGACGCGGGGCGGGGCGTACGGCGGCGGCGGCCCGTGGCGGAGCCTTGGCACGCCCGAAGTGGGCACCGTCGGGCTGCTGCAGGGAGGAGCGACAAGGAAGGAACGGGGCCCCCTCTGGGCCTCAGCAGCGCCTGCGTGCACGAGGAGGGCTAGAGGAGCAGCCGTGAAAGGAACCAAATCACATCGAGCCGTTTCCGAGCCATGCTTGTTTCGGCGTCTGAGCTGTGCGGAAAAGTGGGCACGATGCCCGAAGGCACATGTTGTCCAACACCGACAGCGGCCGCTGCTGGGCAGGCGACCCCCCGCTTCGAGCGGACGGCGCCCCAGCCGCGACGCCGACCGCGAAAACCCTGGCCCAAGCGGGCGGCAAGCATTGCGGGCTGTCCTCGTGACCTCGTGACCTCGTGGCTTCCGCGCTCCTTTCGGCCCCCCCGAAGAGCCGGGCGAGGGCGGGCGGGTCCGGGCCAGCGGCCTCCAGGGCTGGCTGGGCCGGAGGAGGAGGAGGAGGGAGGAGGGAGGAGGAGGAGGGAGGAGGGAGGAGGGAGGAGGGAGGAGGGAGGAGGGAGGAGGGAGGAGGAGGAGGAGGAGGAGGAGGAGGAGGAGGAGGAGGAGGAGGAGGAGGAGGAGGAGGTCCTGGGAGGACGGCAGCCGCTCCCAGATCTCGGAGATCTCCCGCGTGGGCCGGGGCTGGCCGCCCGCGCAGCCGGCGCCAAAGGCGCCAGGGGAGGGGCCGCAGGGCGCCGTGGCGGAGGGCCCGCCGGGCCCAGCGGGGGGCAGCTCCGCGGCCGCGGAGGCCGCCTGCAGAGGCTTCCGACATGGAGTCCGAGTACCGTCGGGGCGTTGACCTAAGGAACTCCAAGTCAGGAAGGAGGCCCTCTTTTCCATAAGTTTAACTTCGACTTCCCATGGAAAACCTCAGGAACGCCTGTGGCAAACTGTAAAACAATGAAGGAACGTCGAGCCCCTCCCCAACGAAAAGGGTTCCTTGTTCAGCGCCCCGGCTGTACGTAGATCTGGCGGCGCGCAGAGGGTGGTCGGAGGAGGGGGGAGGCCTCCGAGAAGGAGGCTGCTTCTCAGAGGGCGCCGGCCCTACATCTATAGGCATGGCCCGCGCTTTCTGAGCGAAGATGGGGTCTGAAGATCGTGCCGCGTCGCCGATGCATCGGCGCCGTCGGCGTGGACAAAGCCGGTCTCTACATCGAGCCGCATCCGCGATGCGGCGCGATCCTCTGAGCCCATTCCATCTACTCGGACCCCATGCGGGAGGCCTGGGCCCAGACCCCCAATGATTTTCATGACGTCGACCCCCAGAGGTCTCTCGGCCCGTTCCCCGGGACCAGTTTTTCATCCTGAGTGGTCATTTTGACGGCCCCGAGACCCAGCAAGGGCCCCCAGAGGCCGAAATCAGCGAAAAGTCATCCGTCGTGATTTCTTCATGACTCGAGGGTGTCTGGGGAGCCTGCGAGGAGGCCGCCAGTAGAGGCCTCCTACATGGGGTCGGAGTAGATGTGGTCGGAGGATCTCGCTGCATCGCCGATGCATCGGCGACGCATCGGGGATGCACCGGCGATGCATCGTCGACGTCGGCGATGCATCGGTGACGTCGACGTAAAGCTAATCGGGTGCCACATCGAGCCGCATCGCCGATGCATCGGCGATGCAGCGCGATCCTCCGACCCCATCTGCTCCGACCCCATCCAGGACTCGCTGTCCGCGCCGCCGCGGACGTTATTCACTGAAGACAAAACGCCGCCTGCCTAACAGCGGCCGCTGTTGGTTTGGGACAACATTCCCTGATATCCGACGTAACCAACAAGAAGCAACACATCGTCAGCAAATCACGCCCGGAGCCCTAGACCCCATCTTTGCGCATCATTTTCCGATCCAGATCGATCTGTAAGGGTCCCGGGGCCTCCAAACAGGCGAGAACGCCCAGCTTTACAAAAACTGAGACGCAAGATCTCAGGGTTTGCTGTTGCGCATTTGAAGCACTTTTTTGAAGGGGCCCGGGGACACGCAAATAGATAGATACAAATCACAAGATGCCCGAACTTGTCCCATATTTTCCAGGCTCTTGCCTGCCCCCCCACTTCCCATACTTTCCCATATCTTCGGGGGAATCGACGATTCATTGTGTCGCTGTGTTTTGGACGCCCGAAATTTGCACGGAAACAATCGGCACAATGCCCAACAGCAAATGTTGTCCCGCACCAACAGCGGCCGCTGTTGGGCAGGCGGCCTTCTGTCTCAAATGGACACAGGCCGCGGCGGCGCGGACAGCGAGTCCTGCTCAAAATGAACAGGAACTGCTGCTGGGCATCGTGCCCATTCCTTCCGTGCCCATCTCGTACGTGCAGATGTGTGCTTTTTCCCCTCCCGATTCTTCCGTGCCCGTTTCCGGCGCCCACGCTTAAGTCGGGCCTGTCCCCCTACAGGGGGATTTTCGAAGAAAAATAAAAAATATCCCCAAACAATCAAAAACTAATCCAAAAACAGTCTGGGGACTATTTGTGGGGTATTTTTTGGCCTTTTCGGGGTATTTTTGGTGTATTTTTTGTTTTTCGTCAAAAATCGTCCTGTAGGCCTGGCGAGCCTGCGAGGCGGCCGCGGGGCCCCCGCGGGGCAGCGGCTGCGCCGGGGGCGCCGCGCGCCCGGAGGCCCCGGCGGAGGCCTCGGGCTCCCCCGGGCGCGGGCCCTCGGCCGGCGCCTGCCGCGGGGGCGCGGCGGGGCCCTCCTCCTCCTCCTCCTCCTCCTCCTTCCTCCTCCTTCCTCCTCCTCCTCCTCCTTCCTCCTCCCTCCTCCTCCTCCTCCTCCTTCCTCCTCTCTCTCCTCCTCCTCCTCCTCCTCCTCCTCCTCCTCCTCCTCCTCCTCTCCTCCCTCCTCCTCCTCCTCCTCCTCCCTCCTCCTCCTCCTCCTCCTCCTGGGGAGTCCTGCGCCGAGGCCGCGCCGTCGCCCGGTCCGAGCTCGGCGCCAGCCCTGCGCTGGGTCTGCCTCGCGGTGTGCCTGACGGGGGCACGGCCGGATGGCTTCTTTCCTGGGCTCGGCGCTGGTGCACCGTGCGCAGTGTGCTGCTATAGCACGGCCCCTTGTGGGGCCTCTGCGGCAGACGTCTGCGGAGGTGGGGAAGCCTCTGCTGCAAACCCGTCTGTCCCGCCTGTGCAAAACAATGTGCGCAGCTATCCTGTCAGAACGGAATTCAAACCGATCTTCACATGATGTTCGAACTTATCACTCGATGTTGTAGTCTGAGATCCAAACCCCCTCGGGTCAGATCCTGGCGTCGCATTTTTTCGAGCCGGGCGTTCTCGTCCGATCTCGGACCCCGGAAACCTCACAGATCGATCTGGCTCGAAAAGAGGCGCAGAAAGATCGGGTCCAGGGCTCTGGTCGTGATTCTCACCATGTTACATGTTTTCGCCACGTCGGGTCTCAAGGGAAGGCAGCGGGTCGTGAACCCCTGGGCTTCGACCCATCACCACCTTATGACGTCCTGAGCTGTTGTTGTTGTTGTTGTTGTTGTTGTTGTTGTTGTTGTTGTTGTTGTTGTTGTTGTTTACAGTTCTAGGGCCCAGGAAGAGCTCCTGGAGCCCGAACACGCGGAACGACCTCCACGACCCGTTTCCCTCAGGACCCCTCTTCTCCAAGACATCCGCTGTCTTGAGTTTCTCACTGCGGGGTACCCAGAGGTCTGGACTTTTTCCCCAAAGCCGGCTCTCCATCCTGAGCCGTTTTGTGACGGTCATGGGGCCTTGCGAGGGCTTCCAGAGGCCGGAGGCTGAGCAAGCCTGCCGCACAGGGTTTCTCGAGACGTTGGAGGTGTGGGCTTCACGGCGAGCCTGAGGGCGAAGAGGCTGATCGCCTCGTGCCTGGGCCCCTCCTCTGAGGGGAACCTGCGGGGGGGACCAGCTCAGACGGAGGAACACTGACCTGGAATCGGCGGTACATCGCCGACAGATCGGCGATGGGCCCCCGATGGCAAACCCGCACGCTCCTGGGCGGGCTGGACGATCGCCCCCCCCATCGGCAATCACTGGGCGATAGGGGGCCGATGCATCCACCCTGAGCCCATCCCCAAGGCGAAGCCAGGACGAGGATGATACATTCGGGTGAGGGTAAATCGAGAATCTCTGAGATCCGGCGGCTCTGGAAGATGTCTCGGGCGTCGCGGCCTTCTCGGAGCGTCCCGGAACGCTCTGAGAGCGTTCCGGAACGCTTTGGAACGGATCCATCCTCGTCCCAGCCCTCTCCGGATCCCCCCCCCCAGAGTTGCCCCCGATCCTTGGGCCCGTCCTCCTCGCGCGGAGCTCCGTCCTCGCCGCACTCGGGCCCCTCGCGCGCCTCGCCTGCACTCTCGGCGGCCGCCGCGGCTGCAGCCCCGCCTCCGAGGCGCGCCGCCTTCTGAGACGTCGTCGTCGTCGTCGTCGTCCCACTTCAGGGTCGGCGGCACTGGCCGTGGCCTTCGCAATAAAGATGCAGCGAGTCAGATCGAACATCTCTGCGCGCTTTGGGATCCCTGAGATCCTGGCATTGCATTCTTTTCACACAAGCGTTTTCGCCTGGCGTCGGGCCCCAGGATCATATCACATATCGATCCGGCTGGGAAAACGACGCAGAGAGATGCCACGATTTTTCGCGATGCTGTGATTTTCGCAACGTCGGATCTCAGGGGTCGGCGTGTGTGAGAGGCTGTTCAGCTTGAGTCGTCGTCGTCGCCGCTCCCACTCAAGCGTTCCAGCTAGAGAATGCAATCGAGCAACGCTGTAATCGAGTCGAAGGGGAGCCCCTACCCTTGATCCTGGGGCTGGGGGGTTGGGTGTGGGGGGGACGGGTCCCGGGGGTTGTGCCGCCCCCCCGGGAGGAGCACCCCTCCCTGGGAGAAGTTCTCGGCTCCAGAGCGTCAGCGTCGTCGTCGTCATCGACGTCGTCGTCGTCGTCGTCGCCGTCGTCGTCGTCGTAGTCCCACTTCAGGGTCGGTGGCACTGGCCGTGGCCTTCGCAATGAAAATGCAGCGAGTCAAATCGGAAATCTCTGAGCGCTTTGGGATCACTGGAATCTGGGCGTTGCATTTTTAAACACTGGGCGTTTTCGCTCGATTTCGGGCCCGTGGATCATCACAGATCGATCTGGCTCGAAGCATAAAGCAGAAAGATGGGGTGTAGGACTCTGGTCATGATTTTTCGCGATGTTGCTGTTTTTTGCACTGTCGGATCTCAAAGTTTGGGATGAAGGGAACGGGTCCTGAGGGAACCGGGTCCTGGGCCCCCAGGGCTTTCCCGAGGGGGCTGTCTTTTCATCCTAAGACTTTCGCTAGCGGGACCGCGGCCCGTGGAGAGCCCCGCGAGGCCCACAACGGCCCAACACTTGCACCAGTGCGCCATCAAACCAATCTCTCACATTCCTCAGGGCCGTTTTGCTTGATGGCGCGAGCCGGCGGGCTTGGAGGACGTGTCGGGGCGAGGGCACCCCAGGAGGCTCGAAGAGGGCCCCCAACCGCGGCAGAGGCAGGAATGGAAGGATGGTGGGAGGGAGGAATAGGAGGAGGAGGAGAAGGAGGAGGAGGAAGGAGGAGGAGGAGGAGGAAGAGGAGGAGGAGAAGCAGGAGGAGGAGGATTTCCTGGGCCTGCCTGACCTTCCGCTGCTGGCGGGCCTCCCGCCGGATGGCCAGCCGCGCCTCCACCTGCGCCGCCCTGCGGCTCTCCTGGCGCGCTTCCGTCTCCTGCCTCTTCGAGACCGCGGCGACGACGTTGCTCACGTTGCCGTCCTCGAGGGGGTACGATACAGTGGGGGCGTTGACCTAAGGAACCCTGAATATGGCACGAGGCCCCTTTTTTATCCATACGTCAAACTTCGGCGTCCCATCGAAAACCTGAGGAAAACCTCAGGCAAGCTGTGAAATAGGGAAGGGACATCGAGCTTCTCCCCAACGCTAAAAGGTTCCTTCTGGAGCGCCCCGACCGTGCGGGGGGGCTGGCTCGGGGGGGTCGGAGGAGGAGGAGGAGGAGGAGGAGGAGGAGGAGGAGGAGGAGGAGGAGGAGGAGGAGGAGGAGGGGGGGAACCTCGACGTGGAATCGGCGCTCCGTCGGCCGTGCCACCGCCCACGGGCCCTCGGCGGCGACACTGCACGCTCCTGGGGAGGCTGGGGCCCCGAGCGGCGAAGGCTGCGCGACCGGGGGGCCGGTGCTGCCCACCTGGGGCAGGTCGATCCGATGCCTCGATGTTCCAGCGCGCTGGTAATCGCGGCCCACTCCCAAGAACCGGCTCGTCATCCTGAACCGACGTTTCCCCACATTCTGAGATTGCTGCTGTTACTCAGACGCCTCCGACTCCTCACGCCCTCCTCCTCCTCCTTGCTCCCTGTATCCTGAGATGAGGCATCCTTCAAACTCAGGCTCACTCATACTCAGACCCCGTTATACTCAGATCGCTCACGCACTCATACACTCAGACTCGCTCATTCTCAGACGCATTCGCTCTCATACTGAGACTCACTCACGCAGACTAGCACGCACTCAGACTCAATCGCACTGAGAATCTGACTCACCCACCCTCAGACTCACTCATACTTAGACCCACTCACATTCAGACTCATTCACACACTCAGACTCGCTCACACTCAGACTAACTCACACTCAGACTTACCCACCTTCAGACTCACCCACCCTTAGACTCACTCACACTAAGACTCACTCGTACTCAGACTCATTCATAATCATGTTCATATTCATCATGCTCATACTCATACTCAGGCTCACTCACACTCAGACCCACTCACACTCCGACTCACTCGCACTCAGACTCACTCACCCTCAGACTCACTCATACTCAGATCCACCCGTAATCACACTCACTCATACTTAGACTCACGCGCACTCACATTCAATCATACCCGGGCACACTCGCACTCACATTCATATCACTCACACTCAGATTCACTCACACCAAGACTCACACACAGGTGGCCACCGCGATATATATATATATATATATATATATATATATATAGCAGGCGTTGCATTTGGGCAGCCACAAGAGGTGGGACACTTCAATCCCCGCGTCCATATTGTGGGGATGTCTCATGCGATTCGCTTGTTTTGGCCCCGTAGCCCAACACTCACCCCGATATAGCAGGCTCGGCATTTGGGCACCCGAGGGGGCAGCCGCTGAGGGTGGGGACAGAGTGGGAGGATGTCTTATGCGGTTTGCCTGCTTCGATTCCCCAGGCTTCTCTTCTGGTGGTCCAATGCTCACCGTGATATCGCAGGCGTGGCATTTGGGCACCCCAAAGGGCCAGGAGTAGGGACATTTCAAAAGCAGTGTTCATGTGGTAGGGATGCCTCAGGCGGTTTGCGTGTTTCGGCCCCCCGAACCTTTCTGTGAGTGGTCCATGTTCATCGCGATATAGCAGGCGTGGCACGCGGGCATCCCAATGGGAAGCAGCCAGGAGTTGGGACACTCCAAACATCGTGTCCATATTGTAAGGATGTCTCAAGTGGTTCGCTTGTTTCGGCCCCCTTGCCTTCCCCCTTTTTTATGATCCACTGAGCGATGCAGCAGGCTTGGCATTTGGGCACAGGAGCAGCAAGGGGTGCGGACTCTCCAACATCGTGTCCAGATTATGGGGGTCTCTCAAACTGTGTGCTGGGTTGCCCCAAGCATTTCTGTTGTGGTGGTCCAAAGCTGACCGCGATATAGCAGGCGTTGCGTTTGGGCACTCCAAGCGATAGCTGGCAGGGGTGGGGGGCACTCGACAAGTCGGGCCCCGATAATGGGGATGTCTCGAGCGGCTTGCCTGTTTCGGCACCCCATGCCTTTCTCTTTTCGTGGTCCTAGCAGGCGTTGCGATTGGGTATCCCAAAGGGGCAAGCCGCGATGGGTAGGGGGAGGAGGAGGACGAGGAGGGGGAGGAGGGGGATGATGATGATGATGATGATGATGATGATGATGATGATGATGATGATGATGATGATGGACGACAGTGGGAGGACGATGATGGAGGCCGATGATGGGGAGGACGACAATGGGAGGACGATGATGAAAGGACGAGGGGGGGAGAGGGAGGACGAGGAAGAAGAGGAGGAGGACGAGGTGGAGGAGGAGGATGACGATGACGATGGGGACGAGGACGAGGAAGAGGAGGAGGAGGTGGAGGAGGAGGAGGAGGAGAGCGCCATCGACAAGGAAAGTGGGGGCCACGAGGTCCGCCGGCTCGACGACGCCCGCGTCGCCCGCGCCCGCCCCCTCACTCTTATCCGCAATTGCGGGGTGCTATATAACCTAACAACCATGAAATCAATGTGAAATTCGCCACACATGGAAAAACAAAAAAAGAGCACAGAAGAGGAGGACCATAGACAAACTAAGTGGTACACACAGACACACAACACACGACACACATACCACACACACACACGCACACACACACACACTTACACACGCTTACGCACTCACACACACTTACCCACACTCTTACACCACACAGCACACACAACACACACCACACACAACCACACACAACCACACACCACCACACACAACACACACAAACACATCACACAACACACAACCACAAACATGAGCACAAACACAAGCACGAACACAAACACAAAAGAACAAACACAGGCACAGGCACAAACACAAACACAGAGCCACAACCACGCACACAAGCATAATCACAAGCACAAGCACAAATACAACCACAAATACAACGACACACATAACCACAACCACAATCACAAACAGAACCACAACCACAACCACAGCAACAACACACAACAACAACCACAACCACAACCACAACCACACACACAAACACAAACACACACACAAACACAAACACGAACACAAACACAACCACAAACACAGACCTACTCACAAGCACACACAACCCACACAACCACACACAAACAAGCACAAATAACACCACAGACACAAACACAAACACACACACACACGACCAAACGCACACACACACACACAACCACACACACAAACACACACAACCACACACAAACACACACTAATACACTCAAGCACACACTCAACCACACACAGGCGCACACGACCACACACACAAACACACTCACAACACGCACACACACACACCACGCATAACGACATACACAAACACACAAACACACACACATGCACAAACACACAAACACACAGCACACAACACACACCTCACACCACACAACACACAAACCACACCACACAACACACAACACACAACGCACAACACACAACAGACAACAGACAACGGACAACACACAACACACACCACACAATCCACAACACACAACGCACAACACACAACACAAAACAAACAGCACACAACACACACAACACACACAACACACACAACACACACAACACACACACACACCACACACACACTACACACAGCACACACACGCGCGCACACACACACGCGCGCACACACACAAACGCACACACACAACACACAACACACACTCCACACACAACACACACAACACATACACCAAACAGCACACACACACCACACACAACACACACTACACAACACACAGCAAACACACTACACAAGACACACCAACACACACAGCAAACACACACACACAACAAACACACAGCAACCACACAACAACCACGCACCAAACACGCAACGAACACACAACAAACACACAACACACAACAAACATACAACACACATACAACAAACACACAAGACGCACACTGCAAACACACAACACACAACAAACACACACACACACCTAACACACAACACCCACACACAAACACACAACAAACACACATCAAACGCACAACTAACACACAACCAGCATTCAACCAACACACAACATACACACATTAACCACACAACAAGCACACACATACGCACACACGCACACACGCACACACAGAGACGCACACACGCACAACACGCACACACGCACACACACACACACACACACGCACACACGCACGCACGCAGACACGCACACACGCACACACGCACACGCACACACACACACACGCACACACGCACACACGCACACACGCACACACGCACACACGCACACACGCACGCATGCACGCACACACGCATACACGCACACACGCACACACGCACACGCACACACGCACACACACACGCACACAAACACACACATACAAACCAAACACACAAACACCCACACACACACACGCACACGCACACGCAATACACACACAATACACACAATACACACAACATACACACAACACACAACACACAACACGCGCACACAACACACACGCACACACGCACACACGCACACACGCACACACGCACACACACACACACACACGGACACACACACACACACAATCCGTAGCCATCTTGGCTCAAACCATCCCTGGTGCCAGGGCGGGCAGGTGCGCGCCGTGCCTCTCCTTCTCGTAGGAGACAGCGGCTCTGTCCTGCTCCCCGTGTCGCGGCCCCTGCGATGGCGGCCGTGGACGACGGCGCGAAGGGAATGGCTGCGGTCGCGCGCTGCCAGACGCTCGTGGCGCTTGCCCCGCTCGTGCGGGCTGCGGTTGCAGGGGCGGCTGAGGGAGGCGGAGGGCGCCACCACCTCGCCGCTGCGGCTGCAGCAGTCCTCCGGACTGGCGTGGAGCTCGCCCTCGACCTGGAGCCGAAGGACTCGGCCGTGGACGAGGAGGTCCGAGCGCGGGAGAGGCTCGCGAGGCCGCACCTGACGGCGCAGGTGGCGGCGGGCCGCGAGGGCGTTCTGCCCTGCCCCTCGGGCGGCCGCAAGGCCTGCCGCGACTGGGCGCAACGCGCCGAATTCGGCATCGGCGCCGAGCAGGTGCCGACCACGGCGCGCGAGGCTGGGCGCCGTGCCCGCGGGCCGAGGCGGCGTGCCGATGCGTCCAGCGAGGAGGAAGGCAAGGAAGAGGTGGTCCTCGACCCCGTCCCGCCCTTCCCCTCCGTGCTGGGGCCGCTCGGCGGGGCCCTCGGCGAGGCGCCTGCCTTGGCCGCAGCGGCGGCGCGCGCCGAGTCGGCCGACCGCGTCGACGGCCCTCGCGGAGCACGGCGCGCTCGCCGCGGAGCTCCAGGAGACCCGCGCCCGGCTTGAGGCTGCCGCCGGCGCCGCCGCGGAGGCAAGCGCGGCGATCGCGGAGGCCGAGGGCCGTGCCCGGGCCCGCGCCGAGGAGCGCGACAGGCTCGCCCTGGCGCTCGCAGAGGCGGAGCGCCGCCTCCAGGACCGCGCGGAGGAGCGCGACAGGCTCGCCTTGGCGCTGGAGGACGTGAGGAGACGCTACGCGGCGGCCCCGGCGAAACTGGTGGGCCCCAGCGTCGACGAACCCAAGAGCGACGTCGCGGAGGCGGACGCGGCGATGGAGCCGACGCTCGTTCCCGCGGACGTGGAGGGCGAGGAGTTCCAGGGCATCGACCACGCGTTGGACCTCTCCGACGGCCCCTCCTCCCCCAACTCCCCTCGCGACGTCGTCGGCCAAGGGTCGGGGGAGGAGGTGCTGCGGGAGACCGTGGAGGTGGCCCAGCTATTGGTGAACGACGGCGGCATGGGCTTCAATGGCGCTTTCGGCGCGCTTGACGTCCACTTGGCTGACTTGGCGGAGCAGGGGGGGCGAAGAAGCGGGCCCTGTCTTCCACGACGCGCAGGCGGAGAAACAGGACGACCATGTCGCCGTCTTTTGTGCGTCGCCCGCGGCGCGGAGCAAGACCAAGCAATAGGCGCGCCTGGCGCGCCGTGCTGCGGGGGCCCCGAAGGTCGGGGATCGCGTCGAGGTCATCAAGTCGTTCGTTCCCCTCCGTCAGGTTCGTCACGTGCCAATTGGGGTCAGAGGCGTGGTGGGCCACGCAGGGGGCGAGCTCGATATGCAGGGCGCCGTGGCGAGTGTCGTCTGGGACGTGCCTCGCCTGACCCGCATCGGTGGCTCCAGCATTGGCGGGGCATCGAAGTCGCAACAACATTGGCGCTGCTTCCGCAAGCTGGCCGATGGCGATGCCTGATGCTGAGGCCTTCGGTGTGCCCCCCCACCCCTACCCCGGAATTCGGTCTCTTTACAACCCGAGCGACACTTTACAACCGAGATAAGTCACTATACAACCAGAAAGGGATCGACTTCCCTGGGTTTCGTTTGAGAACGACCACTTTACAACCAGAACGGCCCACTTTACAACCATAGTGACCACATTACAACCCCGGGCGGGGCTCTTTGCAACCAGAACGGCCACTTTACAACCAGCCTTCAGAAGTGCGCGCGCGCGCTCTGCAGGGGCTTCTGAAGCTTCTGATTCTGAGCGCCTGAGCGCTTTGCAGACGCATCTGAACGCCTGAGCGCTGTGCAGAGTCTTCTGAGCGCATGTGCATTCTGCAGGAGCTTATGAGCGCCTGAACGCTCTGCAGAAGCTTCTGATCGCCCGAGCGCGTTGTAGAGGCTTCCAAGCGTCTGAGCGCCCTGCAGAGGCTTCTGAGCGCCTGAGCGCTCTGCAGGGGCTTCTGAGCGCTTGGGCGCTTTGCAGACGCTTCTGGGCGCCTGGGCGCTTTGCAGATGCTTCCGAGCGCCTGAGCGCTCTGACGCCTTTGCGAAACGAATCGAAATACTGTTTGCGATGCCCCCCAAAACAACACATTTAATCCGCATGCGTTGGCGAGAATGCAACCAACGATTTCTTGGGCACTTTCCGCCTTCCTGGGTACGCATGCTTCTGCAGTTGCGCAGGCATGCGGTTTTGCGATTGCCAGACGATGGGGCGCGAGGACAAACATGGCCTATGAGACAGCACATAAAATTTGAAATCCACGCGCATTGGCTAGAGTCGTACAGACGATTTCTCTGCCACGTATCTGCCCTCCTGGGTACGCATGCTGTCGCGAATGCGAAAGCATTCGGTTTTGCAATTGCCAGACGACGAAGCACGGGGACGAACATTATCTGTGAGCCCGAAAACAAGAAATTCGGCATCCACACGTAGTGGCTCGAATGCTACCAGTGAGTTCTTGGTCTAATTTCCGTCCTCCTGGGCGCGCGTGCTCGCAATTGCGAAACTATGCAATTTTCGTGGCTGTCAGGCGATGCGGCCTGAAGACAAACGTGGTCTATGATACGAAACAACCGCAATTTTAAAATCCACATGAACTGTCCAACATGTTACCGTCGATTTCGTTTCCACATTTCCGCCCTCCCGGGTACGCATGCGACCGCGAATGCGAACGCATGCGGTTTTGCGATTTCCTATCGATGAAGCGCGAGGACTAATGTTGAATGTGGGGCCAAACACGCACACATTGAAATCCAAATATATCGACTAGAGCTTCGCCATCGAGTTCTTGTCAACATGTCCGCCCTCCTGGGTACGCATGCTTCCGCAAGTATGAGAGCATACTGACTTTTGGCTATTGTCAGACAGTGAGGCGCGCTGTCTTTTATTTTCAAAAAGAATTAAAGCAAGAAAACAACCATTTGAAATCCACACGTATTGGATATACATTTGCCAATTGTTTTTTGGCCACATTTCCGCTTTCCCGGGCGTGCATGCTTCCGCACATGCGAAAGCATACGGTCGCGTCGTAGCCAGGCTATGAGGCGCGAGGGCCAAACATGTCTGTGATGCAAAAGATGTAATCCGCACGTTTTGGCCAGAACTTTACCGACGACCACTTGGCCGCATTTCCGCTCTCCTGGGAGCGCGCGTGTTCCTCTGCGTCTTTTTGCGGCGAACGCTTACTCTTTTCTATTTCCAGAAAAGGCCGGAATTTCAGGCAGAGGTTATGAGGCCCCGAACAACGATGGAAATTTAGGGCATGGATATAAAGAAAAACTTAAACCGCCCAGGCCTGTCACCAGCCTGTAGCGGATCTCTAGTGGATCTCAGTTGGGAGACAATCGCTCCTTTTTGGATACCGCAAGGATTACAATAGGACGCCACTCGGGGCGCAATATGAGTCAAACAGGACTGGATTTTGTTGAATTACAATTGGTTCCTGGTGGGATCCCACACTATGCCCCTATGGGTCGAAACGGAAGGATTCCGATTGCATTCCATTGCGATATCCTTCGTATTTGCCCATCTGTTTCTGATGGGATTCCAAGAATGATGGTTCCTATTGGTTTCAAATGAGAACCCACAATAATACCCACTGGGTTTCCATATAGTACACCCAGCGCGTTTCTAGCAGTATTCCAATAGGAAGGCTTCTCGCTTGTAACCCGTTGGAGTTTCCAATCGGTTCCATTAAAGGCGGCCCCAACGGGTTTCAATAGGAAACACCCCCATCGAATTCAAATGGGACACCCGTAGGCCCCATATCGAGTAATCTTGTTGGGTACCAATGAATGGGATTCACCTGGTGCCAACAGGATCCTGGTGGGAAGGGTGCCAATCATATTCCAATAAGACTTTTGTTGGATCCCAATTGGAGTCCGCCACTTCACATATTCTCGCTTCTGACGGGTCACTTTACAACCAACACGCTTCAGAGAGGGAAGTGTCCCCAGTACGTGGACCCACGGGGATTTCGGAAATTTGAAGAACATGTGTCGCTTAACCCCGTGCCCCCGATAATAAACCCTAAGGGATAATAAAGCTCGGGGTTTTCGGGGGGATAATCAAAGTTGCACGCCAGAGCCAGCGTCAAGAGACATCAAGAGGAAAGAGCCAAAGATATATTGATAATCCTTGGTCTTTGGTCCTCTATGAGACATCCTCAACAATGATTTGTCTCGGTTGAGACATCCTCAACGACATCCCTATGGATTTTTCTATATCCCTATAGATTTCTATATGAATACTTATAGAGTTCGATCGATTCCTATGGGTTTCTTTAGATTCCTATGGATCCCTGGTAGATTCCTATGAGTTTATTATTAGTTGCTATAGAATTGAATTGACGCTTACGTGCAATCCAAAGTTCAAAACTTATTAGATTTAATTTGTAAACGCTTAATGAAAATTAGAATTTTCATCTGCTCGTGCAGGGTAGCTCATTTGCCTCGGTTTCCTTGGATAATAAAGCACAGCGATAAACAAGTTCAGGGGCCACGGGGAGGAAGAGAAAGAAACATTGATCGTTTCGTTTGAGCCTGCCTCCCGAAATTATTGGTTTCGCTTGAAACATCCTGAAAAAACGCGTTCGCTTCGCTTGGTGTTGTTACCTCAGCATGAGAAGGAAGTAACCTCGAAGGCGAACTTTCCCAGTGATAATGAAGTTCGGCCTCCGCGCCCCCGCGCCCCCGACCAAACTCTTATTGGTCGACGATAAAAAACTCGAGCGACTTAAGGGGGGGGGTCCATTATTATCGTGGGCATGGGGTTATGTGTGTTTACTCGCCTGGTTGTGCAGTTGCCTTCCTGGTTGTAAAGTGTCCATCTGGGAAAACCCATGCTGGTTGTGAAGTGCCCCATCTGGTTGTGAAGTGGCCGCTCTGGTTGCAATGTGGCCCCCCCCCCCTTCCCCCCCCCTCCCCCCCCACCCCGCAAACGCACAAACATGAGACCGGAGAAAAAACCCAATCAGATTTTTTAATCTTCCAACTGCTCCCTTATATGAGGCTATTGGGCTATCGGACTATAGGGCTATCGGGCTATAGGGCTATCGGGCTATAGGGCTATAGGACTGTGACCTATAGGGCTATAGGGCTATGGGGCTATAGAGCTATATGGGCTATGGAGCTATAGTATAGTGCTATAGGATATAAGGCTACTAGGGCTATAGGGATATAAGGCTACAGGGCTACTGGGCGATTGGGCACCCCCGGGCACCCGGACACCCCCGGGCACCTGGGCGCCCGGGCCCGGCCACCGAAATCGGCCACGCACCTCGCCGGCCACCCGGGCACCCGGGCACCGCCGGGCACCGCCGGGCACCCGGGCCCGGCCACCGAAATCGGCGACAAACCTCACCTAACCCTTTAATCCGCTAGGACCCCTACAGTGTCTCCAGTACGTGGACCCACGGGGGTTTCGGAAATTGAAACGCAGGCCTACCTCCCCGCTTAAGCCCCTCCAACCACCCTTCCAGAGGCGAGGAAATAGAAGAGATCAGCATTTTTCCAATGCCGCCGAAGGGCCTATGCCGCTCCCTGCCCCGCAACCTCTGGTAACGCGATGGCCTGAAGCATCGTTCAAAGCACGTCCAATCCCTTGCGGCCTTTGCCGGCGGCCCTGCAGCCAAGGGGAATTGCGACGCCCTCGTCGCCCCTGCCTCCACCACTCCCCGGGCGGCCCGGCCGCATCTCCCGAGGTGTGGGTGGGTGGGGAAGCCTGGAGTCCGCCAGGGAGGGCGGGCTCCGAAGCCCGAGCGGCCCCCCTAGGGGCTCGGCTCGGGGGGGGGCTTAAGCAGGACTGAGCCAGAATGGCCACAAACAGAAGGCGGGATTGCATTTCCAGGAACCTCCCACCACCGGAGTGGTCGGAGGCATGTGCTCCAGGAACACGTGCCTTGAAAACACAGGCCTACATCCCCGCCTAAGCCCCCCCAACCACCCTTCCAGAGGCGAGGAGATAGAGGAGATCAGCATTTTTTCCAATGCCGCCGAGGGGCCTATGCCGCTCCCTGCCCCGCCCCTGGCTCTGCCGCGGAAGGCCCCTCCAACTTCGTGCAACGCTTGCGGCGCGCTGCCGAGCACTCATCAGCTTGCGCGGCCGAGAGCAGGCGGAAGTCGCTGCCCGCGAAGCGCCAACCGCACCTCGATGCCCAAGACCACGAGGGGGCGCTGGTGTGCGTCGAAGCCTTGATGTGCAGGCGGGCTCGCCCCTGACTTTCCGTCGGCATGTAGCCCGGTCCGTGGGCACGCTCCGCACTGAACTGCTGACAATGAGCCTCCGAACGATCGAGCCTGCTCCCTTATAAGGCCTGCGCCACCTTCGCGTGTTCTGCTGCTGCTGCGGCCACGCGCGCGTCCCAAGCGGCTGGGGCCTTCGGCTTGTCGGCCTCGTGCGCCACCCCTGTGCCAGTGCGCTCGGCGCATGACTCTTCCACGTATTCCAACACCTGCCCGCTCGCCCAGCGGCCCAGGTGTTGAATGGCCAAAATGGGCCAACCTTCGCGAGCGCACCGCTTCGCACCAGACCTCCTGGCGGAATGGCCCGAGATCCGCGCGGGGTCGGCCGCGGGCCCGCGCCGCGCCTGGACCATGCTCGCCTTAGTCGGCACCTGGTTGCCGACCGTCGGGAACAGCGGCTGGTCCCAAGCGCCCTGCTCTCCGCGGCTGACGCCTGCAAACCTCTCTACCCTGTCCACCTGCACGGCCAGCACGTGGTACGGACAGGAATCAGCGCGAACGCCCGGTGAGCACAAGCAGCGAAGCCTCCTCTCCCGCCCGCTGCCTCCCACATCGCACTTGGAGACCGGGAGGAAGAGCACCGCGACCTCGCCGGCCTCGAACGAAGCGTGCGCCAAGCGAGCACCTGCCACCTCGATCTCCCTCAGCAGCCAGCGGTTCGCCACCACGTACGCCGCATGCGGCCGGAGCACATCCGTGGCTCGTACGCCCTCGTCGAGGCGTGGCCCTTGGCGTCCTCCGAGATGTCTTCCACCTTCAGCTCGCCCGCCTTGGCCTTGGGCCCCTGCCCCCGCAACGGCGACTTGCGGCATCTCGCGAACGCCCGGGCGAGCCATGCCGGAACCTCGTGCCTTGCCTCCACGTGGCCCAAGCGCAATTCCCCCAAGTAGCCGACAGCGCTCTTGAAGCCAGCGCGCTTCAGGGCCGCCGCGACGCGTGCCGCCATCTCCTCCGTCAAGGGGTAGATGCAGTAAGCGCCCGGCGCGGCCCTGCGCGCCAGCTCCTCCGCGCCCCGCCGCTTCCTGGATGCCGCCGCCGCCGCCGAGTTCGCCCTGTAGCCCGCCTCCAGCTCGACTACCGCCGTCGCGATCTCCTCGGGGGCGTCCAAGATCCCCAGGACGTCGGCCATGGAAGCGCGCTTGGTGGCATCCTCCTGCACAGCCATGTGTGGGGGGTCGCGCCTGCCAGGCATGCCGGACCCTCGACTTGGCGTCTGCGGCGCCCCGCAGGGCGTGCCCGGGGCTCCCAGCCAAGCGTGGGCGGGGCCGAACCAACGCTGGGCTGCGCTGTGACCACCTGCGCTCCTGGCCCGTCGACCTGCCCCACGGCGCTCCTCCCTGGCCGGCGCGGGGGGCACAGCGGGACCTGAAAGCCCTGCACCTGCAGCTCGGGCGCCGGCGTCGCCTGACGGGCCTCCTCCCTCGGAGCCGCCGCCGCTGCCCCCTCCCGCAGCGGAATCTCCACCCTGCCCAAGGGGGCCCTCCCTCGCAGGGTCCTCCTCTCAGTGCCGAGCAGCGGCGCGAGGGCGACTTTCCTGGCCTTCGTCGCCTGCCCTGCTCGGGGCGCGGAGCTGGCGGACCGCGCGCTGGGGTGGCCAGAGCTCTGCGACGCCATCGGCAGCGACGAGCCCGCGCAGCCAGCCGCCTGGGCCTGACGCAGCGCCGCGCGAAGCGGCCGAGTGTCTGCGCCAGCAGTGCCGCGGCCGCCTGCGAGACCATGCGGCGAGCCGGAGGCGCCGGGGGGGGGGGCGTCGGGCACGGCCCCGCCCGCGGCGCCGGCTATTGGGCCAAGAGAGGCTACGGCATGCGGTAGGCACTGCACCCACATCCCGCCCTGCGGGGAAAGGACGCAATAACGCCCCGATGCCACCTCCCGCCCGGCGGCGAAGGGAACCGGGAAGCACCTACGGGAACGATCCTCCGGAACGTGCTGCAACGCCTGCCCTGCACCCACACCCCGCCCTGCGGGGAAAGGATGCGCGAGCCCGGCGCCACATCCCGCCCCGCAGGGAAAGGAGTCAGGAAGCACGAACCGGGAACGCCCCGCTAGAACACGTAACGCGCGCGCCCTGCGCCCACGTCCCGCCCTGTGGGGAGAGGTCGCCGGGTGCTCTGACACCGCGCCCCGCCCTGCGGGGGAAGGATCACGCGCGTGAAGAAAACGCCTCGTCCCTCTGGTGACCCTCAGGTGCCCCCTGCAACCCCTGGTAGGTCACCGGCCTGCGCGTCGGCCGCGACCGCTTAGCCTCCAAGGCGAGCCTCCTGAGAGCAGTATCAGCGCAAGGCTGTGACCGGTGCCCTTTTCCAGTCGGCTGGAAGATGCGAAAGGGCGCCGGTGGACCGGTGCCCTTATCTGGCTCACAGAGTTGAAAGGGCACCAGGCAGACTTCGCAGAACTATCATGTGCGCCAGAGCCTCATGATCGGGTGATTCTCGGCTCAAAATCGGAAGGTTCGGGGTGGGCCGCCGCCTCAAGAAGCCGCGCCTGCGAGGGGCAGGACACCCCGAACCTTTCGACCCCCCCCCCGCCCCGGGGAAGCCTCGTCGCCTGCAGGGGGGGGGGGGCCCTGGCCCTCCGGGGGCGCCAGAACAACGTGCAAGCACTCGGGCACGCGCGCGGCCGCGTCCACGAAGGCTCCGGGCCCTTCAGGCACACCTGAAACCGATGGGGGGTGGATGTTATTTGTCCTACCCCCTCCGCCCCCGAGAGCGAGCTGGCATAATGAAGCCTCCGAGGCTTGCGACCGCGCGGGAGACCTGAGCGCGCCCGCATCCCGCCCAGCGGGGAAAGGGCGCAACTGTGGCACGTCCATGGCGGACCCCCTGGAATGCCTTGGGGGAGCTCTCTGGGGGCGCTGGGGGAGCGCCTCGACCTTTCCCCAGGATGGAAGCACGTGGGAGCGTCTGGGAGCGCGACAGGACACGCAGAGTGCACCGCGAGCGCGAGCCGTGAATTGCCCGTTGGGCTTGACCGTTGGCGTCGCCCCCGCTGAAGCGATTGCATTGTCGACGCAACCGCCTTCGGCGCGAATTTCGCATGGAGCGCCTGGGAGCGTGCCGGGAGCGCCTGAGAGCGCCGGGGAGCGCCATGCGCCTGGGAGCGCTTGGGAGCGCTTGGGAGCGTGCCGAAAGCGCCGGGGAGCGCTTGGGAGCGCCTGGGAACGCTTGGGAGCGCTGGGGAGCGACTGGGAACGCTTGGGAGCGCCTGGGAGCGCCTGGAAGTCGCTGGGGCTCCCAGCGTGCATGGCTGCTGCAGCACCTCCATGGCAGACTTCTTGTAATCCCTTGGGAGAGCTCTCTGGGAGCGCTGAGAGAGCGCCCCGACGTTTCCCCAGGATGGGAGCACGTGGGAGCGTCTGGAGCGTGACAGGACACGCAGAGTGCACCGCGAGTGCGGGCCGTGGGTTGTCCATTGGGCAGGACCGTTGGCGTCGCCCCCGCTGAAGCGATTGCGTTGTCGACGCAGCCGCCTTCGGCGCGAATGTCGCATGGCTGGAGAGGGAGCGCGAGGGTATATTCTAATAAGGAACAAGGATGGGGTGTGGGTGTGTGTGTGTGTGTGTGTGTGTGTGTGTGTGTGTGTGTGTGTGTGTGTGTGTGTGTGTGTGTGTGTGTGTGTGTGTGAATGTGTTTGTGTTAGTGTTTGTGTGTGTGTGTGTGGGCGGGGGGTGGGGGGGGGGGGGGAGGGGCGGGGGGGGTCACATTGCAACCAGAGCGGCACTTCACAACCAGATGGGGCACTTTACAAGCAGCATGGGTTTTCCCAGATGGACACTTTACAACCAGGAAGGCAACTGTACAACCAGGCGAGTAAACGCACATAGGCGACACATGTTTTTTCAAAGAACATGTTCCTGGAGCACATGCCTCCGACCGCTCCGGTGGTGGGAGGTTCCTGGAAATGCAATCCCGCCTGCTGTTTGTGGCCATTATGGCTCACTCCTGCTTAAGCCCCCCCCGAGCCGAGCCCCTAGGGGGGCCGCTCGGGTTTCGGAGCCCGCCCTCCGTGGCGGACTCCAGGCTTCACCAGCGCACGGGCGCGCGGTGCATGGGCTTTTGGCTGCTGCTGCTGCTGCTGCTCGCGTGCGCGGGCTGCCGGCTGGCTTGGGGCGGCCGCCATGGCCCTCTCCCCCACCGTGGGGCGCCTCCGTACCATGACATCGATCTCGGAGGTCGTGGCGTTCACGTCCCTCAGCAACGACGCGTGCGTTGCCGTGGCTGTGGGCACGGGGGGCCTCGGGACGAACCCCCGGGACATCGCCATCCTTCCGCCGCTGGTGTAGCGCGCGGCCGTGCGCGCAGCGCGGATCGAGGAAGCGGCCCTTGCCCCAGCGCAGGCAGCCCAGGCGGGGCTGGCGTGGCGCATCGCGCGGAAGCTCTCGTACGTCGCCGGCGGGGGCGACCCAGACAGCTTCGTGGACGTGGACCCGCTCGTGGAGGTTTCGGCGACGGCGGCGGCCGCGCCGCCAGCGCCCCCTGGAGGACCAATGCCCTCGGCCTGGGGGCCGCTGGCCACCATCGCCAAGAAGGTCAAGATCTCGGCCGTGGCGGACCAGGCGGACGACGCGGAGATTGCCGGCGCCGACGCGGAGGACGTCGGCCGGTGGCACCAGCATTACATCACTGTGATGGGTGCCCCGCCGATGGAGGAGGAGGAGCCGTCGACCGACCAGCTGCAGGTACTCCACCACAGGGTCTACGTGGCGAAGGCGGCCCCCTACGTGGACCACGCGATGTTTGGTCCGCGCGGGCGCCAGACGGCGAGGGCCAACAAGTTTCGCACCTGGATCCCCACAGCTGGGGGTTATATTTCTCGGGAGCTGCCGGGCCCCGAGAATTTCCAGCAGTGGCAGGCCAGCTGGAGGGTCTTCGTGGTGGCCGCTATCATGTTGGACTTCGCCTCGCAGGCGGCGCTGGCGCAGTGCGAGAAGAACATCGAACAGCTCACGCGGCTGTGGCCGTCCGCGTGGCACTTGATTGTTGCAGCGGACGACGAGTGCCGCGCCGACCACCTGGAGCGGACCAGGGGGGTGCTGAAGAGGCTCAGGGCTCAGAACGAGCCTGCACCTGCGGATTGCTCGGAGCAGCGGCCCTGGCCACCTTGCTTCAGGACCGTCGCCGTGGACGCCGCGTTCTGGGACAAGCAGGTGCGTCATCCGGCGGCTGCGTGGGTGGCCGCTGGATCGAGGGGCGTGCCCCTGGCGCCGGCGGAGCAGGTGGTGCAAGACCACATCCCCGGAGGCGTGGCCGCCATCACCACCCCGCAGGAGCAGCCAGCTGGCAGGAAGAAGAGGAAAGGCAAGAGGCAGCGGCAGGCGCCAGAGGATCGCCCCCCTCCGAAGGCCCCCAGGCAGGGAGACGCGGACCACGGGGGCACCAAGAGCAAGGGCTCGGGCAAGAGCAAGCTCCACCGCACGGACGGGTACGGCAAGGAGATCTGCTACGCCTGGAACAACCAGCGCGGGGCTTGCGCCAACGTGGCCGCCGGCCAGCCGCGCCCAGCCGGGAGGGTGCATGCTTGCCAGAAGTGCCTCAGCAAGGAGCACTCGATGGCCAATTGCCCGCGGCCGCCGTTAAACTAGGCGGAGCGGCCCTGCCTGGGGGCGAGGGGCAGACGGGCGCCGCGATTGCTGGCTTGCTCAAGGATGCAGGGGAGAAACTTCGGAATGGAGATGCGGCGTCGGTGGCTTCGAGGCCGCCTGGTGCTATGCCGCGTGAGCCTGGCAGCATGGTGGCCCAGGAGGTGGCCGATCGGCCCGCGTCGTTGCGGGTGGAGCCAACGGCCGCGCACCTCCCACGCCCCAGCTGCCCCCAGAGCGGGGCAATTCTGCGAGGCCCCAGGCTCGACAGCAGGGCGGCCGACGAGGAGCGAGGCCAGCCGGCGCGCGCGGACAGCGTGGCGCCGCTTGTCTCCGAAGTGCACGCTATGCGCCGAGTCGGCAGGTTTGGCAACGCGCTGGTCAGAGACGTGCCAGAATTGCAGTGGAAGGGCGCGGAGGACACCAAGCATGGCACGTTCATGGCGCAGTCGGCCAAGCAGCAGTGGGATGCAGAGAGCAGCCGTTGCATCGGGGGCATGCGGAACCCAGCGAGAGCAGTCGCAATGGTGCTCGGCCTCAGGAGAGTCGGCCAGGACATCGCGGAAGCTTTCAAGCATTTCTACGAGGCGCATGCCGGGGCGTCCGCGCTCGCGTGGGAGATAGGCGACAAGGAGTGCAAAGGGCCAGAGCAGGACTTGATCGTTGCCTGGCGGGCCCAGCTCCGCAATCTGCCGGGCGCCCGAGGCAGAGGGAGGCTCGCAGAGCGCGGCGGGCACGCGCCCCCGCTGGTGGACGACATCTGGGACGCGTGGCTCGCGCGGGCGGGCGACCCAGAAGACTGCCTGGGACGCCGGGCGCGGGAAGGCGTCCTGCTCGGCATCGAGAAACGCATTGAGGCGAAGGGGGCATTCCCAGCAATGGATGACGAACTCCGCCCCTACGGGGCGCCGCCGGTCGAGGAGGCCTCGCTGTCAGGATTCAGAAACTACGCCTCGCTCTACGACCGCAGGGACGGCGCAAAGGAGGAGGTCGAGCGCTACTTGGAGGAGGGCAACGGCATCGAGGTGGATTGGAGCGAGGCGGCGAATGCCCACCCCGACGGGTCCATCTCGAAGATGGCACTGATCGTCAGAGAAAAGCCCGACGGGAGCATCAAGAAACGCATCATCGTCGACCCCCGGCGCCCTGGTGCGAATGGCAAGTCGCTGTGCCCGGAGAGGATCGTGCTCCCCCGGGTCGACGAGGTGGTGCAAGACGCAGCGGCGTTGGCAGCAGCAGAGCCTTCCGCGTGGCAGGAGGCAGCCGCGCGCGGGGAGGACATGTCCACGTGGGGCGTTGAGTTCCTGTCTGCAGATTTTTCAGACGCTTACATGCACCTGATGGTCCACCCCGAGGAGCGGAAGCATTGCTACGCGAAGCACTACAAGGAGGGCAAGCTCCTCCTCTGGGTGTTCCTCTGCTTCGGGCACAAGGCGGCGCCGCTGCTGCGGGGGCGGCTAGCAGCCGCGTGCGCCCGCGTGCTGCAGGGCTTGGCGCCGGAGGGCGAATTCCGGTCGCAGCCCTACCTCGATGACCCGCTCTGGCTGGTCATGGGCACGCGAGCCACGCGGGAGCGCACGATCGCTCACCCTCCGCGCGCTTGGCTTGCGAGTCTCGTGGCATAAGTGCGACAGGGGTTCGACCGTCACTTGGATCGGCGTCGCGTTCCAAATGCTGCGGCACGAGAAGACGCTGATCCTGTCGGTCCCGCAGAAAATGTTAGATGAGATCAGGGCCGATCGATGGTCGGCGCCAGGAGGCCCAGGGCGCTGGCGGGCAAGTTGAGCTGGCTCGCAGGCGTCGCCCGCCGCATGCGCTGGGCGGCGCGGGCACTGCACGCCGTCCTTGCAGCGGCGGGCCGAGACGTCGCAGCGGGCATCGAGGAGGAGCGCCGCAGAAAACGCTTCGACACGTGGTCTAAGGAGGCGCTGGTGGCCACCAAGCGGCGCAGGCCAGCGCCGGCGTGGGCCGGCGCGCTCTCGGCCTTCTTCCCAAGAGGCCTGCGCAGGGAAGTTCCTCTGACGCCGGCGCCTGGCCAGTGGATCCTCGTCACGGACGCGTCGCCGTGGGGGCTCGGTGCACTTTTGTGCAGCAGGCGCCCGGCGGCGATCCTGGAGTGCTGCTCGGACACGTGGGGCGACGAGGACGTGGAGCACCTTGGCATTGTCGTGGGGGGCTCCTGCACGCAGGCCCGCGCGGAGCTCCTCGCCGTCTTCCCGGCCGTGGCGGCGCGGCAGGAGAAGCTCGCCAAGGGGGGTTCGCCGCGGAGGTGCGCAGCGACTCGACGGCTGCGCTCGCGGCAGCGGACAAGCTAGCAGGCAAGGGCCCCGCGATGAACTTCGTCGCGGCGGAGCTCGCCCTGCTGCTGGAGTGGAGGGGGATCATGGACGTCGGCACCCTCCACATCCCCGGGAAGCTGAACGGGCTCGCGGACCCGCTCAGCCGGCTGGGGGAGCCGAAGGCCGCGTTGCCGCCAGAGCCGGCCCAGCTGCAGGTTGTGAAGAGGCGCGCGGTGCCCACCAGGGTGCCGGAGCTCTTCCGTCTACCCCTTCCTCGGGGCAGAAATGCAGCGCTCAGGCAGGACGCCGGGGAGCCGTGAGACTGGCGCTGGGCGAGCTGGGGGCTCCCCGCCAGGCAGCGTTCCCTCGGCGCTGGGCGAGCTAGGGGCTCCCCGCCGGGCGCGTCACGGACCGGCCGCGCGCGCAGTTCATTTTATATGCTTCTTGAAGGAAAATGTGGCGCCCAACACTTGCGCGCACACCAGCGCCGACTCCAGGACCAAGGCTTGCGCCGACGCCAGCGCCCGCCATGGCGCCTGCACCAGCAACGACGTCAGAACCAACGCCTGCGCCTGCGCCAGCGCGAACACCGTCGCCAACACCGACGTCAGCACCAACGCCAGCGCCTACGCCAGCACGAACACCGTCGCCAACTCCGACGTCAGCACCAACGCCAGCGCCTACCCCAGCACCAACGCCAGCGCCTTCTCGAGCACTGGCGCCTGCGCCAATCTTGGCGCCTACGCCAGCACCACCGCCTGCGACTCCCCCATCGACGTCAGCACTGACGTCAACATTCACGCCGGCGCCTACGCTGCCACCAATGCCATCGCCTACACCAGCACTGACCCCAGCATCAACTTCTGGGCCTGCGCTGTCACCGACGCCAGCGCCCATGCCAGCACCACCGCCAGCGACTTCCCCATCGACGTCAGCACCGATGTCGATATTCACGCCTGCGCCCACGCTGCCATCAGTACCATCAGACGGCGTCGGAGCCTGCCTGCCTTCACGCCTGGGGCCTGCCCGCCGTTCGCCTGCGCCGCGCGCCTCGGACGGCGACGTCGCCGCGCGGGGGCCGCTGCCTGGCCCATCTCGGCGGTGCACGCGAACCTGTGCCCCGGCCGACTTCAACCTGATGGCGCCCGACATCCCGCGCCTGGGCGCAGCCGCTGTGTCAGCCCCGCCTGGCCCGGAGGCGACGCGCACGTCGCCGGCGGAGCTGCGCTTCCACTCCCACCTCCGCAGCTGCGCCGCCAGCGCCTCAGGGGCCTCTTGCACGGCGGCTAGCCCCCTCGGCGACGCCATGCCCCTGGCTGCATGGCCGGAGGCGCCGGCGGCGGTCGCGATCCCGCAGAAGAAAATCTACCGCATGTTTTGGCCGGTCCTTTCGATGACGATCGACGGCGCTTACTGTCTCGTGCACCCTTTGCCTGGACTGCTCGTCGCCGCTCTCGGGCGGGCCCCTCATGCGTTCGCCAGCGCGTGCTTGGCCGAGTCCTTGCACGCCACCCTGGGCCAGACGATCCCCCGCGCGGTCGACCCAGCCTTGGTCCTGGCGGCCTCCTGCGCGCCCGCAGCCCCAGTGAAATTCTTGGCCTTCGGGGCGGCGGTGCACGGAGCTCCTCTGCAGCGCGTCCTGGCCGGAGTTTGCGGCGCCGCTCTACTTGGCGATGTCAATTGTCCACGGGTCGCGTGCATTTCCATTGCGGCAATTATGACAGTTGCATTGAGCCCAGGATGGTATTCCACAGATTTGTCTTCGCCAGCGGCATGGGTAGGACACATTGCCTTGCTCGTCCACGCCGTGCAGTCTCCAGCTTTCCCCGCAGGCCCCAATGCCGACGTGTGCGACACGCGCCTCTTCGAGCGGCAGCGCTGCATCTGCCGCCGAGGAGCAGGGAATCGAACAGGACCTCCGGAGCGCGACCGCTCCACCTCGCCTCGACGAGCGGCGCCGCCAGTTCCGCCGCCTGGGTCGGCAAGTGCATCGAGTGCGGGCCCCGCGCAGGTGGAGACGGACCCAGACATCCCGCGTCGTGATTTTTCCAATCCGCTTCTCGTCGCATTGATTTATCGCGCACGGAGTTAAACCGAGGAGTTGAATTGATCCGCAAGGGCTTCGCCCCCTGCCGCCGGCCCCCTCTCTCGGAGAATGGGCCATGGAAAAGCTAAGTCATGAGGCCTTGGCGCTGTCGTGAAGCAGTATCGAAACATCATGCGAAGCCGAGTCGCAATCAGCAAAACCAACTGATCACAAGAGGGGTTACCACACCTGGCGATTGGTAAGACGTGTATGGTTTAAGGGCTTGGTTACCACACCTCTCGATTAAAGGGCCGAGGGAGTTCTCGCAGTTTGGGTTGCCGCGCCTTGCGATGGATGTGCGCGATGGGTTCGAATTTCAAAAATTCTGCAAATCCCTTATGTTTTTGGACCCTGACCCCGCGGATCTGCGTAAGGGGTGGCGCCGAATTTCAGAAATGTTGCAAATCCCCTTTGTTTTTGGACCCTGACCCCGCGGATCTGCGTGAGGGGTGGCACCGAATTTCAGAAATGTGGCAAATCTTCTTTGTTTTTGGGCCCTGACCCCGCGGATCTGCGCGAGGGGTGGCACCGAATTTCAAAAATGTTGCAAATCCAATGTGTTTTTGGACCCTGACCCCGCGGATCTGCGTGAGGGGTGGCACCGAATTTCAGAAATGTGGCAAATCTCTTGTGTTTTTGGACCCTGACCCCGCGGATCTGCGCGAGGGGTGGCACCGAATTTCAGAAATGTCGCAAATTCCATGTGTTTTTTGACCCTGACCCCGCGGATCTGCGCGAGGGGTGGCACCGAATTAGAAATGTGGCAAATCTCATGCGTTTTTGGACCCTGACCCCGCGGTTCTGCGTGAGGGGTGGCACCGAATTTCAGAAATGTTGCAAACCCCTTGTGTTTTTGGACCCTGACCCCGCGGATCTGCGTGAGGGGCGTCGATTTCGAGCCCCCCCAGCAATTCAGACAACGCGCCCAGGGGACGCTAAAAATCCCGTTTGGCCCCCCCCCCCCCCCCCCCCCTCTCGCGCGGTCAATCAACTAGTTACAGTAACCAGCAAGAAGTCCACTAGTTACAATAACCAGCAAGAAGCAGAACTGCAACACTGGAAACTACAAACTACAACTGGCACATGAAACTGCGAATCACGCGCCTCGCAGCCTGGTGGCCCCACAAGGGGGCCTGTGGATTTTTTCAAAGTGTATTGATTTTTGGTAAGTTGAATTACTTTTTTGAATGTGGATTGATGTTTGGTGAGTTGAATTGATTTTTTTTGAATGTGGATTCATTTTTGGTTGGATGGATTGATTTTGTGCACTATGGCTGGATTTTGGGTTTTAGGCTAGTTGCAGCTTTGGCTGCAAGCGGCGCGAGCTTGACCGCGTGCGCACGCGCGCCGAGTACATTGCATCACGACTGCGCGGCCGCCAATACCGAACAAAAATCCGTTCCTCTATCTCCTCCTCCTTCCTCCTTCTTTCTCTTCGCTTTCGTCGTCCTCATCCTCCCCCTCCTCCTGCCTCCAGCCGCCTTCGGCCCCTCATCCTCCTTATAATTTTCCTGTTCCTCGAGCCTTCCTGATCCCCCCCTTCAACCTCCCCCTCCTCCTCCTCCTCCTCCTTTCGCCTGCTCTGGCGAACCTTCTCCCGCTCCTCTCCTCTCCTCTCCTCCTCCTCCTCCTCCTCCTCCTCCTTCTCCTCCTCCCCTCCTTTCTCCTCCTCCCCCTCGATCGCTGCGCCGCGCAGCCATCGGGTCAGGCGCGCCCTCCGCGCGTATACTCGGGATGGCATAGTAATTAATCAAGGGCCCTTGGGGACTAACCTTCCGACGCGTCTGCCCCCTGCTCCTCCTGCCCCTCCTCCTCCTCATTCTCCTCATCCCGCTCCTCCTGTTGCCCCTCCTCCTCCTCTCCCTCTTTCCTCCTCTACCCCGCCCCCGCCCCTTCCGACAGCGCGCGCCCAGCCCTCCCCGCGGATCCAACGGGGGATTAATGATTACACCATCCAGAGTATCCCTCGCCCCGCGCGGCGCCATGGCGAAACCGAAGGTTAAGCCTTCGATGTCGCGCCATTCGCCGACGTCGAAGGTGGACCCGAAGGTCATCGCCGCGGCCCTTGCGAACACGCTCGCAGGGCGGCCCCTGCTGCGGGGAGCAGCCGACGGCCCAGGCCAGCGGAAGAGGAGGGGGGTCAGGAGGCGGAGGAAGGAGAAGGAGGAGGAAGAAGAAGGGGGAGGAAGAAGAAGGAGGAGGAAGAAGAAGGTGGAGGGGGGCGAGGAGGGAGACGAGAGGATAAAGGAGTAGGAGGATG